ACTGAGCATGGAGCCCAACAGGGGACTGGATCTTATGACCCTGAGATCATGACCTGAGCTGAAATCAAGAGTTGGACGCTCAATGGACCGAGCCACCCAGTCACCCTGGATGACTTGAGGATTTTTATTGAAATTAATTCTTCTCCTTATCCTTTCCAGTCCTTCTCTCTCCTTTCCTATTCTCCTCTTCTTATTTGTCTTCATCAGTCTTGCCATAGTAATAGTAGCATTTTGTAGCAATGGCTATCATTGTTTAAGTACCTGTTATGTGCCAGGCACTGTGCTAGGAGATCTACAGACATTATTTTACTTAGTTCCCTTAATGCTTCTGGTGATAATGGTGGGGGGGGTTTAGGTATTATTATAATCTTTTATTTTATTTTTATTTTAATTCCAGTATAGATAACATACAGTATATACTCATTTGTTTTAAATAGATAAGGAAACCAAGGTCCAGAGAGTCATACGTCCAAGACCAGACAGAAGGAATCAAGATTCCAAGCCAGATTCGTCTGAAAACCAAAGCCTATACTCATGTCCATTATATGCCTCTACTTCTGAGCCCCAGTGTCGTCTTATGTAAAATGGGCATAATCCTGACCTCACAGATTCCTGTCAGGATGAGCAGATGTGATACTTGTAGAGCAACAACCCTGTTATGGCATGGCACGTGGCTTAGTAAGTGGAGGCTTCCTTGCTCTTCTTCCCCTTTCTTCCCTCCCCCCTTATGTATTTTAAGATGGGCTACCTTTAACCTTCGTGTAGACAGGGTCCTGGTCATTGTCTGTCACTGTAAGAACAGCAGGGAGTTGATGAGACCAGTGGGCCTGCCCCACCCAGGATGGGGTGGATGCCAGCACTTGGAGTCCAAGGAGATGGGAGCACCAGCAGCTCTGGCCCTACCCACTGAGCCTTACCTTGTGCTAGCCCTGTGCCTGGGGCAGAGAAGTGCTTGCTCCAGCTCACACAGAGATGAAGGGCTGGAACCTGCATTCAAACCCAGGTCAGTGCCTGTGAAGAGGCCGTTGTGCAGAGATGGCTCCAGCTGGAGAATCCCAGCTGAGAAAACATTGTCTGGGGGTGGTGAGGGGTATCGAAACATCTCTTAGATCAGGCAAGAAGTCCCAATTAATTACAAGTGCTAAGGGAGTGGTCTGGAAGCAGAGTTTTGCAGTCAATTAAAGGGATGCTAGAGGAAGCTTCATTAACCCCTGCCTCCTGGCAACTTTTGGTTTAGGAGAAAGAAGGCCCATGTCCGACTGTAATGAGCTCTCCCACACTGTGGGGGAATGCAAGCAGAGAGTGCCCTCTACCAAAGATGGCACAAGAGGGACTCCTGGGTTGCGTAGCAGGATGGATTCTTGACTTTCTCTGCTTTGATCCTTGTGGTAAAGGAAGTAAATGGTCAAGACATTGCTCCATTTGGGGGCCAGCCCGTGCAAAGTACAGTTTATGCTTTTTCTGTCTTTCTCTGGCGTGGACACAGACTAGCCGCTAGACTGTCCCCAGGTGCCTCAAATCCAGAAGCTCCAAAGCAAACTCATTATCTTCCCCAAAACTGGTCTCCACCAGCTTTCTAGATCTTGGAGAATGGAGCCTCCCAAGATGGAGACACAGGCTTTGACCTCGACCCCTTCCTCCTCCATGCCTCACACATCCAATCCTCAAGTCCTGCCAAATTGTCATCCTGTGTAGCCCCCAGTTTGTCTGCTTTTCCCAGGCCCTTTGCCATTGCCTAAGGCCAGGCCTCACCATCTCCAACCTTGACATTGTACCAGCTCCTTCCTGGAGCCCAGTTCCTCCTTCTCATGGCCCTAATGATCTTCCTCAATCTGCACATCTGATCAAATCACACCTCTGCTTAAGACCCTTCAATGGCTCCCCCATGGCCTGCAGGGAGAGCCCAAGCTCCATCTCCTGGCACCCTGGTTGATGTTCTCAGGCTTTCAACTTTTCACCAAGAATGTAATAAGCTCCTGCAGACGTCCCCTGCTTCTCCCTCCCTGACACCCACCACCCATGTTGAACTACTTTTGTCTCCTCCATGCCTTTGCTCGTGCCAGCCCCTCTGCCTAGAGTACCCTCCTTTCCCACCAGGTTGATTTCTCATTTAAGACTCATTTTAAATGTTGCCTCCTCCAGGGAGCATTCCCCAAGCACCCCGATTTGCCTGTATCACTGCACATGTATGGCAGCTAACTGGACTATGTATCTGCCTGTTTCTTCCATTAGCAGGTAGATTCCTGGTGGAAGGGGCTGTGTGATTGGTGTTCTTGGTGCCTAGTACAGTGCCTAGCAAGTGGTGGGAGCTCAGTAAATGTTATTTAAGAGAGGGTTAGGACTCTGAGGAGAAGACCTTCAGGATTGAAAGTGAGAAGATGCTGGCATTTCCCGACTAGGGCACAGGGCCCTGGGGGGGGGGTGCCACTGAGTGGAAAGGAGGGGCAAGGCAGACAGAGGAGAAGCATCTGAGTGTCTGGGACTGGATTATTTACTGAGGGAGGGACCTGGGTCTTGGGAAGACAGTTCCTGGCCTGCTGAAAGAACACACATGGACTTCCAGGGAAGCCCAAATCCCTCATGTTCCATTTCTCTCCAATCTCCAGCCTTGGAAGGCCCACGAGCCCAACTCCTGGCTCTGGGAATAGCCTCTGTCTTGCAGAAGCCTGAGGGGAGCCCACTGTTGGCCCTAATTCTGCTCCGACACACTTCCTCCACCACTTGGGACACTGTGGTAGATGAGGTTTTGTTCTGGCTCCTCTGCTCAACTCCTGCTTCTTTGTAGGGAAGGGGGGGAGTTGCCTCAGCCTCTGTGGGGGCAGACCCTAAGATGTCCCCCAGTGATCCCTGCCCTGCTGTTCACATCCATGTGTAACCCTCTCCCTGTAGGCGTGGGCAGGGCCTATGACTTCTAACCAATAGAATATGGCAAAAGTGATGGGATGTCACTTCCGCAATCAGGTTACATAACATTGAGGCTTCCGTCTTACCAGCTGGAGCTCTCTGTTGCCTTCGTGGCTTGCACACTTTGATGAAGAAAGCTGCCGTGTTGTGGGCTGCCCTAATGGAGGGTCCCACATGGTGAGAAACAAAGGACAGCCTCTGGCCAATAGACAGCCAGGGACTGAGACCCTCAATTCAACAGGAACTAAATCTTGGCAACAATCCCATGACCTTGGAAGTGGTCCTTACTGTCAGTTGAGACCCCAACGCTGGCCTGCACCTTGACTGCAGCTTGGCGAGAGACCCTGACGCAGAGGGGCCAGCTCAGCTGTGCATGGCCTCCCATGAGAAACTGTGAAATAATAAACATGTGTTGCTTTAAGCCACCAAGTTTGTGGTAATTTGTTATGCAGCAGTGGATAACTAATGCAGCCTCCCATTGCACACTGAACTCCCCTCACTCTAAGAGTCTAGGAGACTACCCTTAGTGCACTAGCCCAGAGTGATGGGCAGATCTGGGAGAAAGGCAGGATGGGTGATGTTAGGGAATAGGAGAGAGAGGGGTCAGGTTCTGCCTCCTCTTCCCCTACTATCCAGTAGGTGCAGAGAGCTAAAGGAAAAGTGACTCTGGCCACCAAGTAGAAGAGAGAGATTGATCACTTGGACCCTGAGTCAGCATTGGGGTTCCTGAGGACCCACTGCAGGCTAGACTCTGCAGTGGGTGCTGGGAGGTGTTGGGGCACCAGCCAGCACGGCACCTATAGAGGTCCCAAGTTAGAGGGAGACATTGCAGCGACATAAATTACAGTAGAATTTACATTCATTGAATGCTTGGCACGCAGTGCTAAGAGTGTGAGTGCGTGACCCCATTTACTCCTCACAACTGTGGAGGTCAGAACAATTATTATTCCATTTTACTTGCGAGCAAACACTCAGAGGGGTTAAGTGGCTTGTTCAAGATCACTCTGCTGGGTGATAGAACCCACCAGCAAACCCAGTGCTGTCTGAGCATGCAGCTGTGATGCTCCATGTTGTGAGCACAGCAACAAACTCTGCTATGGGCAGGGGGGTGGGGGCTGTGTCAGGGTGGGCTTCACACAGGAGGTGACATCTTTGCTGGATCTTGAGAAGTTCAAGAAGTATACCAGGGAGGGGGAGGGTACAATTCATTTCAGGCAGAGGGGAAGAATCTATAAACACGACACAGCATGGTATGTGTGAGGGTGGGGGGGCTTGGCTCAGAGTTGGGTGTGGGTCTGACCTGGCAGGTTGGGGTCATATCATACAGGGTCATATCGTACATTTTGATCATTTTGATGTTATCCTATAGGCAAGTGCTTTCCTACAGACCATTGAAGGGTGTTGGGCAAGGGAGTGACATGGTTAAGTTTGTGTTTTGATGAGTCTTCTGGGTGGAGTGGGGAGAGGATGGAGAGAGGGAAGATGTGGAAGCTGGGAGACCAGTGTGTGAGGAATGGGAGTTGCCTAGCCAAGTAGAGAAAAAATGAGGCCCAGCTTAAGGCAGGACAATGGTGGAGGCAGCCAAGGGTGAAAGGGGGGTTCTGGTTTTGTCTTGACTCAACAAGGCCTGGGAAGTATCTGTGTCCAGGAGCAATGCTGAGTGGCATCCTGTCCCACACATGGCTTGGCAGACATCAGGAACTCCCTCAGTGTTGGTGGGATGGCCAGTGGCAGACCTTGGCCCACCCATGGGAGTTGGCTCCCTGTTGGTATGCCACATCCCGAGGAGCTTTTGGAGAAGGATGGCCAGGGGTGTGGGGTACTGCAACCAGGCTGGGACACCAGCTCCAGGGGTTTCTTGCACAGCTGACTTCGAAGGGCAGGAGGGGAGTGGCCCTGAATCTCTGGGGCCAGCCCTGACTCTGGCCTCAGTTGATTTCTGGGGTCATTTCTAGTGTCCCGGCCAGCAGTGAGGGTAAAATGGAAGACTTTCTGGGGACTCTTGAGCATTGCAGCTCAGCTCCCTCTCACCTCAGCTGGTACCCCATGTCACCCTGGTGATGCCAACAGACAGAAGAGGACAGACAGACCAAGAGTTGGCTGTACAAGGTCTTTTCTTTGTTGTCATGGTTGGTTTGATACATCTTAGCATCTGCGTCATACAAAGGGGGGAGCGACAGCCATGGCTTTTGGTCAGGTTCAGGGGGCATGAGGGGGTGCCCCTCTCCTCCCCCCAGGCACTGACACATTTAAAGAAAGCAGAGCAACAAGGACACAGCACAGTTGTGGGAAAGGGATTCCCCCGCGAGAGCAGGATGGTCGTCCTCACCTGGGTCTCATTAGGACCCCCACCCCAGGGCCAGCACAAGCACCTCCCAATCTCTCCCCAGGGAAGAAGGGGGGCAGCAGGAGCAGGGAGGGGAATAGGGGATATGTGGGGGGAGGCATGTCCTCAGGCCTGGGAGACATATGTCACCTGAGCCATCTGATCCCTAGCTGCCTGTCCAGTCAAGGGCCTGCAGGACCCTAGGATGGAGCAGCTCTGCCAGCCAGGTGCTGGGGGCTCTCATGGCTGGGGTTCTGCCCATTCTACTCTAGCCAGATCCTATAGGGCAGCTTCTTTGCCCACCAGCTGTCCCACCTGAGAGGAGCCTGGGCTGCTAAAATACATCTGTTCTCTCTCTCCCTGCTACTTCCCTCCCAATCTCTCTCCCTCTCTGTCTCTCTCTCTCTCACATACACACAAACCCCTACTTAAGAGGGTCTCTTGACTTCCTGCTTGCCTTTGGAGGAGACCCCACACAGTTTTGCCAGTAAGGACACCTTCCAGGAGCTGAGGCTGTCCATGTGTGCAAGTCCTGGCTCACTGCCAGCACCCAGCATGGGTGATCCAGAGAAGCCTTCTCCCTCTTCTCTGCTGGTGAGCTCCCAGGCATGCAAGTCTGGCCGTGGCCTTCCCTGGCAACCACGCATGCCCACATCAGGTGGTGCCCACTCCCTTGCATCTCATTGTTCTCACTATGTACAAATGATTGCTCCTTCTTATTTCCCTAGCTGGAGAGTGTCTCCCTGATACGTTGTAAGTGTGTGCTGAATTCTGGGACTGCTCCTTCCCCGTCCCAGCCTCCTAAGTGTATCACACGCACACTGCCCCATTTATGTGTGGCACACCCATCCCCCTCCCATCCAGTGGGCCACACACACCTCCCACCCCAGGTACCTCATGTGAACATCCCTTCCCTGCTAGAGCACACTGCACACATATTTTGTTGCCCCTCTCCCTCCACATGAGTGTGTTGCACACAGCATCTTCCCTGGGTCACAGGTTAGCTGCTTTCCACAGTCAGGTCTGTATCAGGAATGACAGTCATCATGTCCCCCTGGACCTGACAGTGATCACCTGGCAGCAGTGGGAGGCAGGTATGCCCCATGCTGAAATTCTCCCTTGCTCCCACCTCCAGGAATACCTGTAGTCCTGCTTCTCAGGAGTAGGCCTGAAGAGTCTGGAGGAGTCTAGGCCATGCACCAGACTAATCCAGCCAGCCTGGAGGGTACTCTCATATGGGGAAAACCCTGAGCCTGCTCTGGGGGTGCAGAGGGGCTGTGGAGACCACCAGGGACATCCTCTGAGGGCCCCGGGATATCTTGCATGGCTGGGTTCCTCTGCTCATCTGAAGCTTCCTGAGCCTTGGTCTCTCCTGCCCATCTGGCACTCTCTGTCCCTGGCACTACCTTTGAGATCTGTGGGCCCCTGTCAAGGGGGAGACCTTTTTGAACACTTGGGATCCACATCTGTGTCTGGGTGGGGCTCACACACAGGGTCTGGGGAGGCCTGGGGCCCCTGGACTGGGCCCTGCCTGTCTCTATCCCAGGACCCCAGGGCTTTAGAGAATGACCATCCTGCCCAGGAAAAGAGACACAGACAAGCAGACAATAGGGGTGCGAGGTGGCTCCCCATCACAGACACAGGCCCCCTGGGTGGGGGGCAGGACACAGGGGCATAGGGGAGGGGGCGGGGGCGGGGGAGAAGGGCAAATCCAGGGAGCTGGAGCTGCTGAAGCCCTGCTCCCTAGAGAAGGGACAGACCAGGGGATTTTTCTGGTTCCCTAAACATATGGATTGTTTTGTCTCGTCTTTAAAGTATTGCAGTCTAACTGATATGGCTTTAACTATTGGAAACGGGCAGAGAAGACACATGTCTCTCTCTGAAATAAAAGCATAAATCCACTAAAATGGAAAACCTGCAGAATGCAAACTGGGGTCAATGGGGCAGGAGCTTCGGGGGCAGGCAAGTCGCCTCTCCCTGGGCCCTGCTTTTGGGGTAGGCCCTGGTGGGGGCCCAACATGGCTTCTCGGGGCACTGCCAGGGTCAGTCACAGTGGGCTTCTGAGGACCTCAGGCAGGAACCCCCCAAGGGCGGGAGGACTCTAGGCCAAGGACAAGGTCTCCTGTTGGATGTGGTCACCCGGGACCAATGGTTTTGGGGCCGACGGGGGCATCTCACCCATGTTTGTTCTCCCCAAGCACACATCCTGCACACAGCTGCCTATTCAGAGCCATGCACATGCGCACAACAGTCTCAGCACCTCTGACAGTCCCTCACACACACACTTCCACCACATCTAACACAGCCTTCTCTCCAGACACACATGCCATTTTGAAAACACAAGCTGCATGTGCAAACTCCACCACACGTACAAGATGGCTAGAAAACAGATATGACACAATCTCAATTCATACGCACCCCCTCAAACAAGCACACATACACAAGGCTGCCTACCATACCTGATCTCTATCTAACACAGGGGTGTGATTAACATACACACACAATCTCAAGACATACTTACACTCTAACGACACACCTATAGGTACAGTCTTTGGACACACAATTGCTGCTGCAGTCCTTGCCACACACACTCTTGCGTGCATAGACACACACTTTCCTCTCTCATTTGCTCCATGGCCCCCCAGTTCTACACAACTGACTGAGCAGGAGGCCTTGACAGTTTGGGGTTGGGGGGGGAGCAAATGTCATTTTCACACATCCCAGAGGAGAGTTTGTTCTTGGCCAATGAGATGAATGGACGGATGCCTTCTGTCAAGTGGGAACTGGCTTCTTCCCAAAGCCTTGGGGCTTTGGCCAGGAAGGGTCCTCCTGGGGACCATGGGGTCCTGGAAGCACATGGACATGATGGGGTAGGAAAGAGGGGTGGATAGAATGGGGGCAGCTTGGCTGTACCAATGGTGGTCCCATGCACAGGCCATCACTGCCCAATGGCTCCAAGTGTTTTCTGGGGAGGCCTGGGGAGCCCCTTGGCTGGGCAAACTGGGCCCAGCCTGGCAGTGGGGCCCCAGGACCCAAGTGGAGGAGGGGGAAATAAGGGGCTGCTCTACCCTGGGGCCTCTCCACAGATTAAAGTCCAAAGTGGATCCATTCGGAGGGACTGGCTTGGCAGGGCCTATGCCTCTTCAGGTGGGGGTTGGGAGAGGAGTGCTCCTGGGCTGGCTGCCATCTCAGGGCGAGGGAAGGAGAGCCCCAGCCTCCTGCCCAGACTTAGGCCTGACCAGAATACAGCGGGGGCCTCTCAGGCGGGGCCCTCACAGGGCAGGCTTACCCTGACTCCCTTCCTCAGAGCCAGGCCACTCAATGCCCCTGCCCTGACCTGGAGGCCCACTGTGGGTCAGGGGCCAAAGGTCGACATGCTGGGCAGGGCTGGAATGTGTCATTACTTTGGCTGGCTGGGGACAATGGTCCTCCTGGCAGTGGGGTGCATGAAGGAATGTATGGGGGTTACCACACTAGCATAGAACTTAGGCTTCTGGAGGGGGCCCTCAGTGCCTCTGGCACTGGGTTCAATGCCCCCTTCTGGGGGGAAGCTGCCTTCCCTTTTTCAAGCAACTTGAAGTGAGGTGGGGGCTGGATACCCTGGGAAGAAGGGGGTGTGAGGGAGTGCTGAGAGGGAGGAGTCCCTGGCCAGGGAAAGGGGGGTAGAGGTCAACTGAGGTTTTCCCCTTCAGAACTGAGACTTAACTGAATAAAAGGAAAAGAACCAAAAAAAAAAAATAAAATAAAATAAAAGGAACAAGTGGAGTGGGAACAGGGCAGGAGGGCCGGTTACTTCTTGAACATGTCCTGCAGTGGCCCCGGGAGGTATTTGAGCACCGTGTCCAGGATGCTCTCCTCCTCTTCCTCCTCCTCGTCCCCGCAGCCTGCAGGGATGGCCTTCTTGGGCCGGGTCAGGCTCCCCTCGCACGGCTGCTCCAGGGCTGCCTTCTCCTCTGCCTCCTTCTCTTCCTTCTTCTTCAGCCCGTACTGGGGAGGAGGAGAGCAGAAATGAGCACGAATGGGGCAAGGAGAGAGCTGGGTGGGTCTCAAGGTCATGCAGGCTCAGCTGGGGCACTCATGGAAACTCCCCAAGCCTCAGTCCTCTCATCTATAAAATAGGGATAAGGATGCCTTCCTTATGGGATTGTGCCTGTCCTTAACAGGTGCCCCATAAGAGTCTGTGCATGGGGTTTCTTTTAAAATTAATACCTGCCCGTAATAACTTCTCTGCTCTTCTGAAATCCCCCAAGATTTGACATCTGAAAGTCCTCCCCTATGTTTGGATGACAAAACTTGATTTGAGTTAATGGGAGGCTACTTAATAGCCTTGATTTTTTGCAGTGGTGAGACTAGACATGTACTGAACTGTTTGGCCTAGGGTGGCAGCTTCAGACCCATTGAGAGTGACATGTAACCATAACAGGTGCTCAGGGCACTACGGTACTTGCCTAAAATTCCCAAATTCTGGATTGCAAACATTTGGTCTCCACTGTCTTAGGTACAAGATTGTGGACCATAGCAGCAAACCTTAGGGAGCACTTCTCATGTGCATTATCTTATTTAATCCCCATAACGCTCTTTTGAGGGAGCTGTTCCAGTGACACTCGCTGTACCCTATGAGGAGAGTGGTGCTCAGAGAGAGCTAGGTCTAAAGCGAGAGGAGGGATTCAGGGGAGCCCGAGGCCGGGTTTTGGGGGGTACCGGCTTGACCTCGGTGCCTTCTACTCTCTGGGCAGTTGGGAGGTGCTGACCTTGTCTCGGATCTGCTGCCGGACCTTCTCGCGCTCAGCCTCCATGCGCGCATGCTTGGCCTTACGCTCCTCCTCCTGCTGCCGCAGAGCCTCCTGTCTCTCCTCCTCCTTCTTCTGCGCGTCTGGGTCCTTCTCCTCCTCTCCCCCCAGCATCTTCCCCATATCCTTGGTGGCCCCTACAGTGGATGGGTTGGGGAGGGGGGGTCAGGGGGGTCAGGGCTAGGGATACAGGGGCCTGGTGCTCTGCGGACCCCTCCCACCTGGGTTGGGACCCAGGTTGGGGAGTGAGGGGTGCTGGGCTCGGGCCTCACCTCCAAGGGCCTGCTTCATGACGAAGTCCATGATGCCAGCTCCAGTTAGCGTGCCCTAGCCCGCAGCCAAGTTTGCATGCAGGGCTCCTGGCAAGGCCTGGCTCAGAGAGATGTGTCAACCTGCAAAATGGAGTCGGGGATCAGACGCGAGAGGCTTCTGCACAGATAGATGGCAGCCTCGCCCTGGTTCAGGCCCCAGGCTCCGTCAGCTAAAGTCAAGACCCAATGCCCTGGCGCCCATGGAGAGGAGGTGGAAAGGGGTAATTTCCTCAGGGCTTGTTGTAGGCCAGGCACAAATGTGTGGTCATATATCTCCAGATTCCGATTGTAAAACCTTCATCTTGACCATATTGCTTTAATTTGGTTGAAGCCAAGAGTGCTAGAAAGAACTCAGGCATGCTAGAAAGAACCTGGAATTTGGAGTCAGGCAGACAGACCTGGGTTCTCATGCCTCCCTCATTCCTTATTTGCCATGTGACATTCGGCCTATTACTGAACCCCCTTGTGCCCCAGTTTCCTCGACTATATGAAAGAGTGGCAGTGCCTCTTTTCCCAAGGCTACTGTGGACACTGGGCACAATTTCAGCCTGGGCCCCACTCGGTCAACCCCGAGATGGGATGAGCACACTTAGGGCCCCACCCAATCAGAGGCCCATTAAAAAAAAAACAGTCAGCTTGGATGAACATATCCAGACTTCTGAAATTAGACAAATGTAGAAATAAGTTATTTTTATTGCAACAAACATGTAAGTTTTTGTGTTTTATAGCTTCATATTGGTTTTTATTTTGAATTGCACATGGAGGGGGGGTTTGGAGACATGATAATCTTCTTGGGGCTTAGGGCCTTTAAAGCACCAAGCATGGGCCTTGTAAGCACTCAGCTTATGTTAGTCCTCCCCTTCTCTCTCAATTACCTTCAGTTTTTATTATATTTTTTTATTGTTTTTTTTTTTGGCCTCAGAAGGTTTTCTCCAAATCAAATCTGTTTTTTTTTTTTAAGATTTTATTTATTTGCGAGAGAGAGAATGAGAGAGGGAGCGTGAGAAGGAAGAGGGTCAGAGGGAGAAGCAGACTCCCTGCTGAGCAGGGAGCCTGATGTGGGACTTGATCCCGGGACTCCAGGATCATGACCTGAGCCGAAGGCAGTCGCTTAACCAACTGAGCCACCCAGGCGCCCTCTCCAAATAAAATCTTAATGGGAATCTCAATATGCAAAATACATAGAAGTGGAAGTATTCCAGTGTTAGTGGGGAGGGGTAGAGAGCTTGGAGCTTCCATCCACTGTTGACCTCCTTCTACCTTGTTCCCCCCACATCCCCGAGAATTTGAACCCTGATATAACTCTTAGATTTCCTTTCTGCTTTCACCATTCAGTTTCACTGGTTTTTCTCATAGACAAATCCATTACAAATCCCCTTTTGGGTGTGGATGGGAACATGCATGAGCTATCCAAAGTGTGATGTAGTCACCTGGGGCCAGGCCTCCCCCCACCCCCCCACCGGGCCCGTCAGCGCACGCAGCCTTGGGGTTTTTATGATTTGCTAGGAGGAAAAAGGGAAATGGCGGCAGAGAAGCAGGCTGGATATCACAACCAGGTTGAGTTCAAGGTCACTGGCTTTTGGTTGATGATGGATTTTCCTCATTTCTTTCAAAATGAGAAAACATATCAGCAGACTGAGATCTTTCTATCAAATGGGGCCCAAGAGTTTATTTGAGGACTTCTATGTGATCATACCACCTGACAGGTTGTTTGGAGGAGGGCAAATCATAATGGAGTAGAAAAACATCGCCAGGGGCTTTAGCATCAGACACACCTGGTTAGAAGTCCAGGCTCCAATACTCCCTGCCTGTGGCCCCTGGGAAAGCAGTGTGCTCCTTGCCAGTGAGAGGAGTATTAAGCCTACCCTTGTACTGATGCTCGAAGAAGAGGAGGTACTGGTCAAGTGCCTGGTGTGTAGCAGCTGCTAGTTAATGTTGGCCATTGCTGACTGCGTATTTGTAAGGACATGCAAAAAAGGAGCAGGATTTCCAGGAAATGCAAGAGAACCCACCCTGACCCAGAATTCTGAGTTTGAAGGCAGCTCAGCTCAGTCAATTAAGATGTTTTCACTTGACTCAAAAACATTGCGAAGAGACTACATTTCTAAGAACAGGAAATGAACAATTTAATGATCAAATGATTTCAGGAACTATTGGGTTCCTCCTCTGTGTTTCCATGCAGCTCAAGGAATTGGCAGGTGGTGCTGGAGGATGCAGGACTCTAATTTGAGATGTCTCAAATTGGTCCACAGGGCACCTGGGCTTTAGGTCCAGCATCATCCCTAACTTGCTGCTCTGGCAAGTCTCTCTCCTGGACCAGATGATCTTCTGGGTCCTCTTCCCAGCGGTTCTGTTGGAGCAGTTCTGCAGCATTTGAACTGCTGGCCACCCCCTTGCATCCTCAAATCCTTCTCCTGTCTTGGTTCTGTGACTCAGTTCTTTCCTCTCCCCCATCTCCTACCGTACTCTCTCCTCTCCTACTGCTCCCCCCTCCCCCAGTTTTGCTGCCTCCTCTTGTTCCTTTCCTTTCTTCAGTAAGTGTGTTCCCTAGGACTCTGACTTTAGCCTGTGCCTCTTTTTCCTCTCTAATGTTTCCCTGGGGGAACTCATCCTTTCTTGGGCTTTAATGATACCTAGACATCTTCTGTGGGCTCTCAGACCCCTATATTCATTTACCCAACAAGTTTCAATTGAGCACCTACTATGTACCAGGCAATATGTTAGGCACTGGGGTATAACAGTGAACAAGACAGACAAAATCCTGCCCTCATGCAGATTATATTCTGGAGTGTGTGTGGTGTGAGTGAGTGTGTGTGTGTGTGTGTGTAGGGAAATAGGCAATAAATGAGTCAAGAAATACGCTTGCCTTCCTCTTGAACTCCTCCCTCTGGGTATCCCATGGCACCATTCAAAATCAACATGCCATCTCTCTATCACCACACCATCTCCTTCTCTGGACTCTTCTGCTTCTAAGCATTCATTCAGCAAACACTGATTAGTACCCCTCCACACCCCCCAATCTGCAAAGTACATCTACTCAGTTGAGGGCTGAGTCTTCTGGATACTTATATCCTTGTCGCTGTAGGTGCCCCCCTTGTTGAAGCCTGCTGGGATTATTTAGCGGCTTCTTGGGTCCACCCCAGAGTCTTACTACCCACTCCCAGTGTGGCTCTCTCAGCTCTCCAGTAATTTCTTGTTCATCCTGTTGAGGCTTCCCTAACCAATTTCTCAAGGCCCAGTGTCATCCTACCCTATCCCCTTCAACAGGTGACTTTCCTCCCAGTTCATGTGGTGCACTGGAAGGCTTGTGGGCTCTGAGTCAGGCATACCTAACTCTGATCCTGAATCTGCTACTTTTTAGCTCTGTGATGGTGAGTAATTGACTTAACCTCTCTCCCTTATACAGTGAGGATTACAATACCACTTTGAAAGGTTAGAAATACTGTATGCAATGTGTTTGGCACATGGGGGGGCTCAGTAAATGATGACTATTATCATTATCAAAATGATTGATGCCAGCTGGTATGAGCTCCTGCAACTTTCCTTCCTAGCGTCTGAAGACGAGGTCCCCCTCCTTCCTCCTGAAGTTAATCTATCTGCCTGTGCTGCAGATCTTCTCTCCTTACACCTCCTCCTAGAGCCTTTCATGCTCCCTCTTCCTCACATCCTCAGTCTCTTCTCTATAGGTCTCTTTATCCCCTTTCTTCTCTAGCTCCTGCTCTGAACCACCTTTCCCTTCATCTCTGCCCTCTACCTTTGTGATGAAGGGGTCTCCAGTTGGTGTCTCCACTCCTTCACCGCTGGGTCAGCCCTGCAGCTCTGTGAGGCAGAGATCTGCTGCCTCTGCACTGCCACCAAAATTGCCCTCATCAGAGTCACCAGAGGCCTCCCAGATGCCAGACCCCAGAGTGTTTTCACAGCTCTCCAGCTCTCCCATCCTTCTGTAGCCTCAGATGTTGGTGATGGCCCTATTCTCTTCCCATCCCTCTATTTTTCATCCCTCTTCCTGGATTTCCTGAATCCTGTGAGAGAGTACTCCTGTGGTCTTCAGATTCCTTCTCAGACAAATCTTCTGTCTCTCCTTTGCTGACTTCTTTCCTTTAAAATGTAGATGTTCCCCAAGCAATCTCTCTCCCTCTTGCCCCTCCTGCTGTCGCTCCTTCCCCCACTGCCTCGCTTGGGAATATCACCTAACCCTATTGATTTATGCCCTTTTTTATTCACAGACACCCCCCCCCAACTTGCACATTTAACTCTCTGCTGAATATTGTCACATGGATAATCTCAGATTCAATCTGCCTAACGATCAATCTCACCCTTGTTTCCCTCACCCAACCGTCTTTTCTTCTAGTGTGCCTTGTTCCAGTCGCCTCAGCTGAAAACTCTGGAGTCAGTGATTTCTTTATTCACTCACTCACTCACTCACTCACTCACTCACTCACTCACACTACCAATATTCTTTGAGCATCTACTCTGTCAGGTACTGTTCTGGATGCTGGGCTGTGGCAGGGAACAAGGGAGTCACATTTGCTCTCACAGCATTCAATTAGCTGGGAAGATAGACATTGGACAAAAGACCACACAAGGAATTGGTGAGTTAAAACTGAGATGGGGTGCTGAGAGAGAAGTCCGGAGGCTGTAGCTTCATGGTGCATCCTGCATCCACACCCTCTTCTCCTATGGCTGGCTGCTAATGTCCTGGTTCAGGGCCTCGAGGTTCTGGATTTGTGCATAACCTCTACCTCTGTCCCTCCCTCAGCTCTCATCCATCCTCCACGTGGCTGTCCAATTAATCTGCCTAACGGGCAGATCTGCTCATCACACACACCCTGAAATGGCTCCCCATGGCCTTGTTAAACTGACCACAGTCCTTGTGCTGACCTTCAAGTCCTGCACAGTCTAGCACCTGCCTGCCTTGCCATTCCTTCCCCATTCCTCGCATGTGGCTCTGCTTCAGCTATCCCCCAACACATATTCTATTCGAAAACCACTGGGCATTTGTTCATGCTGTTTTTACAGGCTGAGAGCCTCTTCACCTCCTCTCTGCCAGTTCAGATCCTAGCTTCACTACTTACCAAGTG